AATGAACTGAAAGGGCTCAGAAAAGGTCCCTTCTAGAACAAAATAAAAACATCTTCCAAGCCCTTCTACTTCAGAATGCAGACACCGCTCCAGTTTTAAACCACCTCTTTAAAATTCTTTCTGCTACTGAAATCTTTTTTAGTTTTTTTTTATTTTTTATTTTTTGATACAGAGTTTCACTCATGTCACCCAGGCTAGAGTGCAATTGTGTGATCTCAACTCACTGCAACCTCCACCTCCTGGGTTGAGTGATTCTCTTGCCTCAGCCTCCCGAGTAGCTGGGATTACAGGCACCTGCCATCATGCCTGGCTAATTTTTCTATTTTTAGAGAGACAGGGTTTCACCATGTTGGCCAGGCTGATCTCAAACTTCTGACCTTAGGTGACCTACCCGCCTCAGCCTCCCAAAGTTCTGGGATTACATGCGTGAGCCACTGTGCCTGGTCTCTGTTACTGAAATCTTTCAATGATATCTATTAAAGATCTCTTATGGGTTATGTATTACCATATTAGTGACATGAGTGATCCCAAAGAATAGGGACTTTTTCTGGCCTCCAGAGGTTCCATCACATGAGACCACTCACTGAATTTCGATTCTAGTCCTGGCTGTGTTATGTGTTGGCTAAATGACCTTGGACAAGTCACCTAAGCTCTCAGAACTTTAGGTATCTCACCTATAGAATAAGGAGAATAATACCAGCCTCAAAATGCTTTTGGAGTTTTGTAAGGAATAAGTGAGAACATTTGTTTAAAAAAAAAGGACTTGGGCTGGGCACGGTGGCTCACACTTGTAATCCCAGCACTTTGGGAAGCTGAGGCGGGTGGATCACAAGGTCAAGAGATTGAGACCATCCTGCCCAACATGGTGAAACCCTGTCTCTACCAAAACAAAACAAAACAAAACAAAAATTAGCTAGGTGCGATGGCATGCGCCTGTAGTCCCAGCTACTCCAAAGACTGAATCAGGAGAATTGCTTGAATCCAGGAGGCGGAGGTTGCAGTGAGCCAAGATCGTGCCACTGCACTCCAGCCTGGGCAACAAGAGCAAGATTCTGTCTCAAAAAAAAAAAAAAAAAAAAAAAGTAAGGAAGGACTTATAAAACTGTGTGCAAATATACAGTTATAAGTACTAAATCTTGGTTTATTCTAAGAGGTTCTTGTGATGAACAGACATTGTGAAAAGTATTTTTTATGGATTCCAGGATGTTTCTTGAAGCTGTTTAGAAGCTGGACAGAAGAAAGGGGGACTTTTTGAGTGCAGAGTCACTCATAATATCTCTGCCGGGTTCCCCAGCGTTATGTCAGACTCCTGGGCAGATTGGAGCACTGTAATTGTGTTAGTCAGGATTCTCCAGAGAAACAGAACCAATAGGAGGTAGATATACATAAAGATGCAGCTATAGATATAGATAGGATACAGAGATTTACTATAAGGAATTGGTTCGCATGAGTAGGAGGCCAGGAAGTCCTTGCCATCTGTAAGCTGGAGACCTAGGAAAGTGGGTGGTGAATTCCAGTCCTAGTCTGAAGGCCTGAGAACCAGGGAAGTCCCTGATGTAAATCCCAGTCCAACAGCAGGAGAAGATTTCCCCCAACTCAAGTAGCCAGGCTGGAAGCAAAAGAGGGCAAATTCTTCCTTCCTCCACCATTTGTTCTTTTCAGGCTGGAAATGAATTGATGGTGTCCACCCACATTGAAGAGAGCGATCTACTTTACCAAGTCCACTGATCCCAATGCTGACCTTATCGAGAAACACCCTCACAGCCACACCTAGAACAATATTTATTTATTTTTTTATGGCTTTTTTTTTTTTTTTTTTTGAGATGGAATTTTGCTCTTGTTGCCCAGGCTGGAGTGCAATAGTGCAATCTCAGCTCACTGCAACCTCTGCCTCCTGGGTTCAAGCAATTCTCCTGCCTCAGCCTCCCAAGTAGCTGAGATTGCAGCATCTACAACTATGCCCGGCTAATTTTTGTATCCTTAGTAGAGACAGAGTTTCACCATGTTGGCCAGGCTGGTCTTGAACTCCTGACCTCAGGTGATCCACCCTCCTGGGCCTCCTAAAGTGCTAGGATTACAGGCATGAGGCACCGCGCCTGGCCCCCCAGAACAATATTTAATCTGAGCACTCCTGGCTCAATTAAGTAATTTTAAGACATGTAAAATTAACTGTCACAATAATAAACTAAAAAGGGAGGCCAAAGAACAAGCTTTCAAGTGTGTGCATTGTATGAAAACTGGAGCTCCAGCTGGTGGTGGTGGCTCATGCCTGTGATCCCAGCACTGCGGGAGGTCGAGGAGGGTGGATCACTTGAGGCCAGAAGTTCAGGATCAACCTGGGTAACACAGTGAAATCCCATCTCTACTAAAAACAGAAAAAACTATCTGTGCATGGTGGCCCATGTGTGTAATCCCAGCTACTCAGAAGGCTGAGACATGAGAATCGCTTGAACCCAGAAGGTGGAGGCTGCAGTGTGTTGTGATCTCACCAGTGCAGTCCAGTCTGGGCCACAGAGTGAGACCCTGTCTAAAAAAAAAAAAAAAGAAAAGAAAAAAAAAAGAAAGAGAGAAAACAGGAGCTCCAGTCTCCTGGGTAACTGTAACTGCTGGGCTTCCTGGATTCAAAATCTTGCCCTGACTCTAGCAGCAAGACCTTGGCCAAGCTACTTAAACTTTGTGTCTCAGTCTCATCATTTGTAAAATGTGTATCCAAGCACACCTCTTTCATAGTGTTTCTGTGAGGAGTCAAAAAGCTAATATATCTAAGGCTTTGAGAGGATGCATGACAATGGGATAATGCAACAAATGTTAACCACTATTGTATGGGAACAGCTGGAAGACAGAGCTTATCCCAGACTGGAGGAGACTTTTCCCTTCCCAGTTAAGTTCAGAATGCTTAACTTAAACCTTTGAATTTTATCATTGGCCCTTATGCTTCTGCCGGCAAATGGTGGGAACTAATCCCCACAATAATTTCCTTCTCACTACCTTCCTACTTCTTTAAATGCAAGCATTCACGTATTTACTGATTACTATTGCACTTGTACAAAACATCTTAGTTTTTATTCACTCTCTTCTCACAATTTGTTTTCCTGACTCTGCTATAATTGTGGTTCTGTCTGCAACAATACTCGACTTGTGTCTTCACTAGAGAGGACCAGAGAAAGAGATAGAATTGTGTTACAGACAATGCTTTCATTGAACATCCTCAAACACTGTGTGTGTGCCTGTTTCTGTTGCTTTGTTGACTCATATCCAGCTTGTGGCCTGCTTTCTTTCCCAGACTTCCTTCCCTGTTCCATCTCATCAGTGGCTTTCCAGTTTGTGTTTATGGAATGTATTCCTTCCTTATCCACAAAAATCTACCTCCACAAACTCAAAGTGTATGTGGCTGTGACTGTCTGAAGCAAATAGTAGAGGCGTTGTGTCTTGGATCCAACTTATAAGCTGTAGGAGGCCCTGGGACCTGAGCATTTCGTTTAGGCCCAAAAAACGAAAAGCTGGTATCTTTGTGGAATGCTTTCAAAACTCTCTGGGCTGAGGAAATGGGAAAGGTTGATAGGCAGTTACAGGTTGAACCTGTTTGGTTTCTTTTTGCTGAGCAAGACGAGCACAGTTTAGGGTTTGGTTTCTCTGCTCTGAAGTTTCAGAGCTTCCGTGGTAAACTTGGAGGTGAACGAGGTAACTGAGATCAACATTTCACTTTGTCTAAACAGGGGGCTACTTTGTAAGCCAGACGATCAGCCTAGTATTCCAGCCGAGAGGGGCAAGTTCTGCAGAAGTCAGAGATACTCGGAAAAGCATCCCCTTCCCTATGCCAAGGTACTTGATAAGCTTCGGAATCATAAGCCAGCTCTGCCGTACCCAACAAAGGCAGCTAACTCTGCTACCAAATATTTTTACCGAAATAGTGGAATCTATCATGTGTCTGTCTGCTCTGGGATCTCTCTACCTCTGGTTCTTGACACTGATGCAGAGAAGTCTATATTTTCTTGCCTTTCTTTCCTGTTTCTAGAATTCTTTTGATTATCTCTTTTTCCCTTTTTTTCTTTTTTCTGATTCTTTTTTCTTCTTTTTAGGTACTGTCTTGCCCTGTTACTCAGGCTGGAGTGCAGTGGCACAATCTCAGCTTACTGCAGCCTCAACCTCCCAGTCCTGAGTAGCTGGGACTATAGATACACACCATACACCCAGCTAATTTTGTATTATTTGGTATATACGAGGTTTCGCCATGTTGCCCAGGCTGGTCTTGAACTCCTGGGCAAAAGCAGTCCTCCTGCCTTGGCCTCCCACAGTGCTGGAATTACACTGTGCCCAGTCTTTTATCCGTTTTTTAGTTTTAACTTCATATTACCTTCTAATCATTTTAAAATGCACATTATGCTCATTTAATATATGATGCAGTTAGAGTTTAATTATGCTTTTCTTTTTTTTTTCCACTTAGTATATTTTGGGGATTTCTCCATGTAATCAAAACCTTCTGAAAATATAACTCTTGATGATTATTTAGTATCAAAACGTAACATAATTGCTTAACCACTCCTTTTTCTGACATTTAGATTGTCACTTTTTTTTAAAGAGTTAAAGTCTTTCCCTGCCTGTATCAAAACATTTCATGTATCCCATAAATGTATATATACCCACACTTACCCACAAAAATTAAAATTAAAAATTAAAAAAAACAGAGTCAGTTTTCACTATGTTTCCCAGGCTGGACTCCAGCTCCTGGGCTCAAGCAATCCCCCCTTCTAGCTTCCTGAGTAGCTGGGAGTACAGGTGCATGCCACCAAGCCTGGCCTGTCACTTTTCGATACTGAGCTCATTCAGATGTTGACTAGCTTTGTCACCAGCATGAGATGACTCTCAGCAAGTCCTCTGCCAGCTGTCACACAAAATTCAATAAAGTCATATTAACAAATTAATGAGATCATGCATTTAGGTATGTCTGTGTTGAAGGCCAATGATCTTCACCAGTGTTCACATCTTCTTATTTCATTTTATTTTTTTTTCTGGTTGACAGTGAGGATACTTATTGAAGGTTTATTGGGTGCAGGGAGAAGTGCTGGATGACTTGGGTTGAGAGGAGAGACCTCTCCCCTGGGATCCTACAGCTCCAGGCCCCCATGGTTGGTGTGAGGACCAGGGCATTCTGAAGGGGCTATCGTCTTCTCCATGGTGCTCCCTTCATGCATGGCCCGGCAGCTGTAGCTGCTGCGGGATCTCCACTGTCAGGCATCAGGCTCAGGTAGCTTCTGGCTGCATACTTCTTGCTCTGTTTAAAAGGTTTGATGGTCTCCATGTTGTGGGTGATGATGATGCCATCTGCCTTCCAAGCCACTGTCATGGTGCTCAGATAGAAGTCACTCATGAGACACACTAGGGTGGCCTTGTTAGCTTGGAGCACCTCTGAGGAGGGCAGGAACAGAGTGACCAAGTGGGGAGCCTTGGGCTTACCTAGGACAGTGAACTGGGTCCAGCTGCCAAACATGCCACACAGTGAATGATGCTTTGGATTGAAACCCCCAGGGCCAGAACCTGGGGCCAGTCCAAGAGCCGGGCTGGAGTAGAAACAATCATGGTGGAAGGGAAACAAACACGTCCTTCTTCACATGGCATCAGGAGAGAGAATGAGCATTCACATCCTCTTCTAAGGAGACTTCTGCCTCTAATAAGCTCTCCCACACCACTCAAAGCTGATTGGACCAAGGACGGACACCTGACTTAAGGCAGGCCAGATACTATGGTGTGGGCCAATGGGAAAAGGTGAACTGGGTCATGAAGAGGAACCATATGAGAGCAGGAAGCAGCTACCCAAGGGAGCCAGAGATGAGAACATGCAAAGAAAAGCCATGAGGAAGAAACTACAGTTGGAGAAAGACTGGAGATTACAGCTTCCAACCTGGCCCTGCCAGTTGGTTTTGTCCCTCAGCTTTATTGAGCTATAATTGACAAAGAAAAATTATACATATTAAAGATGTAATGCGATGTTTTGATATACGCCATGAAATACATCATGAAATGATTGCCATAATCAAGCTGATTAACAATATGATCTTACCTCACATAGCTACCATTTATGTGGTATGATGAGAACATTTAAGATCCACTCTCTGCAAATTTCAAGTATATAATACAGTATTGTCAACCATAGTCAGCATGCTGTACATTAGATCTCCAGAACTTAATCATTTTTTAAGTGAAACTTCATACCTCTTAACCAATATCTCCCATTTTTCTTACCCCCCAGCCCCTGGTAACCACTGTTCTACTCCCTGGCTCCTATGAGTTTGACTCTGTTAGATTCTTCATATAAGTGAGATTATGGGGACATTTCTGTGTCTGTCTTACTCAACTTAGCATAATGTCCTCCAGGTTGTCACAAACGGCAGGATTTCTTTCCTTCTTGAATCCCAGTAACACTCCATCGCACATACACACCACATTTTCTTCATCCATTTATTCATCCACATTTGTATAGGGTGTTTCAGTACCTTGGCTATTGTGACTTAAGCTGCAATAAACACGGGAGTGCAGATATCTAAGAAACTGCATTTATTTCCTTTAAATTCTGCCACTTGATCTTGAGGAATCAACATAGCCCCTTAAACCTCTGTTCTCATCTGTAAACTGGAGATAATCACGCTTTCCTGATAGGGTTTTTTGGAGGATTGGAGATAGGGTAGATAAAGTGTATATAACACGACAGGACCTCACTAAATGGTGGCTACTTTACACATAAAAGCATTTTTTAAAAAGGAAAAGAAATACTGTGAAATTTAAAATCATCACTTACAAATAGATGCACAGAGGAAGTAAAAGATATATTCAACACAAAAGCAAGATTTTAAGCTCTTAAAACATTATCTGTTTTAATCACCCATGTTTATACTCAGTATTTAGCTCAGTGCCTGGCAAATCTTTAAGTGCTTAATAGGTGTGTATTGCTTTCAATGAATAGCTTAAAAGCAAGATTTTTCTTTGACTCAGATATCTAGCTGATTGGGCATTTTTACCCATGGAATTGCCTGGTTGTAACTCACTGAGCCCCTTGTATGTGAACCCACTGCAGCAACTCTAATTTCCCTCTGAAAGATTGGCATTTATGAGGTCATTTTCCCTTCAGTCTTCCCCCATTCTTATTTATTCCACCATATTTCACAGGCAAGCAAAACAAAAACAAACAAAAGACCTTTCATAAAAGTAACTTCCCACTGTTAACTCCTCTCCCTGAAATCTGCTGGGAAGACAGAAAAAGAAAAAAGAATCACAAAAGAAATAAAAACACAAGACCATGCAAGTTCCCCACATCTTTAACAGGATACACACATATATATTTAAGTGAAAAGGTTCTGAAAGGCTGTGAAAATACTCCTAACTAGAGGCAGGATGATCCACAACAAGCAAGCGGAATACAGCTAGGGCACATCTCCATACCAAACACCGTGAGGTGTGGTAGACATCTGTTGCTTTTGTCTTCTCAACAAAACACTCCTCTTTACACTGGAGAATTGGTCTTCACAGATCCCGTATGATTCTCATGGGACTGGCTATGGAGTGGGTATACAATCCACCCCCGTCCAACCACACCACCCCAGCCGTATGTACACAATGCAATTGGGCATTGACCCAATCAAGTCCAGTCATATTTCTTTCAAGAAATTTAATATAGGAAATACTGGGAAAGGAAGGGAGTGTCTCACTTTTATACCATGAATTGTAAGGTTATACACAGGATTGGGACTACCAGCAGCCATCTCTCCTGCCACACGTAATGAACATATTTGTGTTGGAAGAGAGTGAGGCCAAATGCAAAAAGAGGCAGAGACAAACATAACCTGAGAGGAGGAGTGGGAAACAGAACCTTGATGACATCATTTGAACACCTGAGTTCACCTGTAACTAAAGCCTTCAGTTGAGCAGGTTGTAAGGGTAGAAATGAGTTCTAAGTTCCCCAACCCCACCCCATACCCAATTCAAGGCTTGGTAAATTGGTAAGAAGGTTTTAAGGAGAGAAGTTACTCTGCACACACAGCGGGGGAAGAATTTGTGACTGGGGCCCCCATCTATGATAGAGAAAACAAGGAACAGAAGGCCACAAACCCTCAAAGCTTAACTAAGCTGCTATTAGTTGATTTCTTGGGAAAACCAATTTTTTAAAAAAGGTATGAGGGTTTTTTGTTGTTGTTTTGTGGTTTTTTTGAGACGGAGTCTTGCTCTGTCACCCAGGCCTGGAGGGCAGTGGCACAATCTTGGCTCACTGCAACATTTACCTCCTGGGTTCAAGTGATTCTCCTGCCTCAGCCTCCCAAGTAGCTAGGATTACAGGCACCTGCCACCACACCCAGCTAATTTTTGTATTTTTAGTAGAGATGGGGTTTCACCAAATTGGCCAGGTTGTTCTCAAACTCCTGACATGGTGATCTGCCTGCCTCAGCCTCCCAAAGTGCTGGAATTACAGGTGTGAGCCACCGCACCCAGCCTAGGTATGAGTTTTATGGCTGTGGGAATATGAAGAGAAACAGAGACAAGATTTAGTTGAAATTGTGTGGTCTATGGTTTTTTATAGGTCTTGGAGCTGGCTGGGACTTAACCAGTAATTTAGATCTCAAAGGGCCACATGACTTTAGCTAACATCTGAATCACAGATGTGAAAAGAAACAAGGACGATTCAGCACACACATAATACACATTCCCAAGGAAAAACAAACAAAAATTTGGAACAGAAAATTATTCAAATATTTCATAGGTGATTCTCCTGAAAGCAAAGATCTAAATCTTCAGGTTAAAACAATCTACGGAGAAAAAAGTCATGAGTTCTACCAAGATTAAGACATTTCTGATGAAGTAATTTCAAGGATAAGAAAAGTTTTAGAAGCATCCAGGCAGAAGAAACTTGTCACCTTTAACGGGAAAGAATATATATCAGGGAGGCTTTAGACTCCACAGCAATACTAGATGAACAAGATAATGGGAAATGTTGAGAAGAAAAAATAGAACACAAGAATTCTTATGTAGCCAGGATATCTGTCAATTATAAAGGCATGGGAAATACATTCATAAATATGCAAGAACCTTATAATTTTAGCCTTAATAAAATCTTCCTGAAAAAATGTCCATGAAACAGCAACTCTGCTGTCTGAAAGAATAACCAAATTAAGAATTTACAAATGGAGGCCAGGCATGGTGGCTCATCCCTGTAATTCCAGCACTTTGGGAGGTTAAAACAGCAAGATAAGTAGAGCCCAAGAGTTCAAAACTAGCCTGGGTAACATAGAGAGACGCTGTTTTTATGAAAAATCAAAACATTAGCCAGCTGTGGCAGTGCATGCCTGTGGTCTTAGCTACTCAGGAGGCTGAGGTGGAAAGATTACCTCACTTGGGCCTGGGAGGTAGAGGTTGCAGTGATCCCTAATTGGGCCACTGCACTCCAGTCTGGGGGCCACTGCACTCCAGTCTGGGTGACGGAGCGAGACCCTGTCTCAAAGAAAGACAACTTTTTAAAAAGATGCCAAAGACAATAAAATGGCAGAGTGCTAGAAAGCAAAGCAGACCAGACTGCAAAGCTACAAGTAAATATGGAAGATATAGACACGTTTTCAGGACAAAAAAGGGGGAAATACCACAGCCTAAAATATCAGATGGAAGAGAGAATTTTCCTGAAGAAGCCTCTGGAGAAGCTCTACAGTCGACAAATTCAAAGCATTGGAGAGAGGCAGCAGCCCAGTTCAAGGCCTGGCCTTGGAGAGGACAGACAGCTTCCACTTCCTTCCTCTTGAAACTCTCAGCCCAAGCTGTCATGCAGTGGAAAGTAGAAGCCACATAGAAGGACCAAGTGAGGGTCCTCCAGCTAACAGCCAGCATCCCTGACAGCATTGGAGGGAGCCATCCGTTTGAAATCCCTGATGAGTTCAGAAGCAGCCCACATCACTGGGAGCAGAAAACCAGCCCAACTGAACCCAATTAACCCACAGAATCATTGGAGATAGTAAAATAAATGGGCATTGCTTTATGCCACTAAGTTTTAGAATTATTACATAGCATATACAACCAAAACAAGGGCCATGGGGCAATCATAAGTTATTTAAGAATGTCACTGGAATTTTTGAGCCAGTTTAACTCTATCTCTTTTTCCTCTCCTTTCTCCTTCCATTTTGCTTCTCTCTTCCCTTCCAGAGAGCCTTTGAAGCTACATTTCTAGTTCTAGTCTTATTGGCGTCAAAGTGGGAGAAGGGGAAAAGGTTTCTTCTGACATGTAGGAATTTTAAAAACTATGCAACTCCTAATGAAAACTTTGCTCCTGTAAAAGGAAAGGGGAAAAAAAAATCAAATTCGAACAATATGAAATCTTTTAAAGCAGTGACAGATTTAAGGGGGTCCAGGAAAAAAAAAGAGTTCCAGGAGAATCTATGGAACTGTGGTGCTGGAGACAGTTTCCTTTGAGTGGTAGGGAAGGCTTTAGTGTCATAGAATGACAGTTTCCTCCCTAAAGATCTCTCAGATTCTACGGAAAATGTTGTCTATGTGGTCATTATACTAAAAGTGGGGTCCTAGTGTTTTTAAAAAA